CAATTTGCATTACAAAGATGTATTGTAGTACACATTCCAAGCTTTCCAAATTGTCAAAGAACTTCTCAAACACCCTTGTGGTTAGAGAGAATCGAATTTGCAAAGATGGGCAAAAGTCACTTTTGTTCATAACCAAATACATGTTCATACATTGGCATTTTTCAAATCAGCTTGTACAAGCTAGCTTACAGGCCTCTAACCCTCTTCACACTCAATAATTAAATGCTTAACCTTTGTGTTCAAGTCTTATTTTGTTCATTTGGTCATTACATGCAAGATTAATCCATAACTAGAAAAAGCAATTTTGCCATTTTTGTAAAGTAATGCTTTATGTCAAATACCAAATCCAAGAAGTACAAGCAAAATCTTTGAGGCACAAGTTTGTAGACAAATCCCACTGATCAAGAGAGAGTGTTGCAGCATGCTTGAGGGACCTGTGCTGGCCTATAACCCAACTTGACTATCCTTACTTACCTTAGAAAAAACTTGGCAAAAGATATCAAACTCTCACTTCCTGCAAACAGAAGCTCAAGCAAACTTTGTAGACACTTTTCATACATCAAAACAAGCCTAAAGCACAGCTCATCCACCCCTAAGACCCGCTCATACTCAGAATCCCTGTTTTGTTGCAAAACAGGGCAAGTTCTGCAACTTGACCTCCATAACCATATCCATTCGTGCGTTTTTGCTCAAGCCTGACCAAACATATTCTATATCATCCATACAAACTATCCCAAGCCCTAAACACAGACTGTAACACCCCTAACCAAGTTTGCCATTTTCACTTTTCAGCTGTGCAGGTTGACTTCCATAGCTCGATACAGGTAGATTCAAAGCAAGCTAGGTGTTGGAGAAGGTTCCTTGGACCTCAGGCAAGCTGTACAAATCCTCAAACTCCATTGAAGTTGGACACATTACTCTGTTCAAGTCAAGCTGAAACAGGTAAAAATGTGAACTTCTATCTCTCTATCCAGGCATGATTAGGCTTAGGTTTGTGAAGAAAACATGTTCTACTCATAGCCCTGAAACCACCTATGTATTTACTTTTCATTTATATTATGTGTGCTGTGAGAATTTTGGCCATGAACATTGAAAAAAACTTAGGTCAGAAATTGGGGATGAAGAAATTCTCCCTCGTTTCTGAGAGTTAGGTCCAGATTTTTATATGTATGAATTCGTCTCTTCATGCTCTATAATGTTTGTGTTATGAGTTTTTGTTAAAAGTCAAAGAATCAGGAGTTTGTTGTTTGAGCAAGGAGGCGCGCAAAATTCAAACAGAATGGCTGGAGGTTGAAGAAGGTGGTGACTTGGGCTGGGCCTGAGTTGTTCTTGCTGCTTACACCCTCATTTTCCATTTACACCCCTGGCCCATTGTGTGATATTTTGATCATTTTTGACTTTTTCTTTTTTATTCTGACTTATTATTTTTTGCTTAAATATAAAAAATATTAAAAATATTTTTCCATCTATTTTTACATTTATTTGGAATTTATTTGTTTTATTTAAACTTATACATGTAAAACAATACATATACTTTTATTTAAAAACAATAAAAAATAATACAAAAATATATTTTTTTAGTTATGATTTTTTGTTTACATTTTGAAAACATTTTCTAAAAATATACTTTTTTTTGTAAATAATTAATATTTTATTTTGGTATATATTTAGTATATTTAATATATAATAAATACTTGTATATATTTATTAGAATATTTAGGACAAAAAAAATATAAAAATAATGCATTTTTATTTTTATTAATATATGACATCAAAAATACTTTTTTTTACAAAATAATTTTTATTTTTGTATATAATTAACAAATATTGTATATAATTAATAAATAATTGCTATTTATTCAACAATTAGGGTTTTACCCTAAAAACCACAAAAATACTCCAAAATAATACATTTTATTTTTGTTTATATTTCACATTGAAAAATACTTTCTCATACATAAAAAATCTTTTTGTGCATAATACATTTTGCATTTTTATTATATTTGTTTAATTATTGTACAATTAAATAATTTATATATTCAATATGGGTGTAATAGTTTTAGATTTAATTTCTTGCTAAATATCCCCCATTCAAACATTTGTACCCCCATCCCCATAATCATGTTGTAATAATTTAGGACTTTAAATTTCCGCATTTAAAAGCTTTCAAATTATGCCATGATAGACTTAGGGTTTGTATGCAAATCAACCAACAAATAGCTTGACTAATTCAAAGACAAAAAAGCATGAAAATGGACAACACCAATGCACACTTGCACCCTTAGGGTTACTCCACTTGTTGCCTTCAAAAATGGGCCATGTTGCATGTTGAGTTTCTTTGGCAAAACAAAAACAAATCAAATGATCATAGTCCCTCGATGACGCTTTCGAAGTTGCCTAAAAATGATCAAGTCCCTTAAAGGAAAATTGCCAAAGACACTTGGCACTATTGCATTCATGGTCCATACGATGACCCGCGCCCGTCCCGTTAACATCCTAACACAAGATTGTCCACCAAATACAATGGTGGAACAATATTGTTAAAAGGGTTAAAACATAGGAAAAATCTTTGAGTAAATTTAGGGGTAGACAACTCTTAGTTACTTGATCAAACTTGCAAAACACACTTGCCTACTTTCAAAACACACCCCACAACATAACTTTCAAAACAACTTTCAAAACCTTGAAACATCTTTTCAAAAAGACAAACACCTTTTGTAAAACATTCGAGTAAAGAATTGTTACAAGGGTTGCCTAGGCAAAGGCATCTTTTTCAAAACATTTTCAAAACCACACACACAAAGCACCATTTCAAACAATTGAAAAGCAAAGGCAAGTGATCTAAGCAAGTAACTAAGAGCCCATGGATAACCATGGATAGAAAGGGTGCTAATACATTCCCTTTCTATAATCTACTCCCCAAACCCAAGAAAACATCTCAAAGGTTTTTGTTGTGCTTTTTAACCTTTCCTTAGGATAAAATAAAAAGTCGGTGGTGACTCTTGCTCAACCGAAACATTTGCGAAAACAAACGCAAAACCTAAGTCAGTTCTCCCACCGTATCACAGAACTGGCGACTCTGCTGGGGACAAAAAATTTAAAGTGGAGTAACCTTAGGGCTTAGATAACCCTTTTGCATGACTAATTGTTTCCTTTGTTTGCTTTACATTTTTTTCCTCTTGTTTGGGCTTGAAATCCTACACCCGGATTTGGGGAAACATTCATAGATAGCAATACGTTGTGGAAACTGTGCGGGGTATACCGACACGGTTGAAGCAATAGCTATATTAGTGCGACATATTTGTGAGTACCGGTAACCCTTGAGTTCAATCAAGGAGAGTATGGGGCCACTGAGTGATGTCACCAAGCACTAATGACCTAGAACCTTACTTGACCATCTTGGCCTTTTATTAGGGGTAGTGAGATGACCGGCTTTGGTGCAGTCCGAAGTTGGTAGATACTCGATATTACACTCATTGAGGGTTGTTTTCTTGGAATATTTTGGTCGCTAGTTAAGTGGCTAAACCAAAACAATGAACATGGAAAACAATCCAATGATATTGAGCTCCTTAGAACCCGGTTACTATTTATAGGACGAGTTTTTAAGCCAACTACACTCAAGAGGGTACTTACCTATGAAACCCCATGCAAGCCTGAAACTTGGGTGTTGTGTGACTTGCTTGTACATATGTTTGTGCATACATCTGTAGCGGTGAAAATCGGAGATCGAATTATTAATTAACTCGTCTCACAAAAGCAAGAGTCGCCACCGCGCTTTATTATTTCCAAGGGAAAAGGGAAAAGAGCGAAATAAAACCCTAAAATATGCAATGTAAAATAATACTTAAAAGTAATAAAAATACAATGCGTTTTTGAAAGAGATCGAGAGTTCGGGGGTTGGTTATACAATGGGAAGGTATTAGCACCCAATGCATCTGCGGTACTCCGCAGGAACCTTTTGAAATATCTGTTTTTTGGTTAAAATTGTTTGTTTGATTAAAATGGTTCGTTTGGCTAAAAATAGGTGTTGGCGAGATTTTGAAGATGTGATAACCTAATGTCGAAGTTTTGACTTAAAAGGTATGAGTTTGAAAATGGAGTCTTTTGGGAAAATTATCTTAAGTTTAACAAAATAGTAAACAAGCAAAAAAATGAATGAAGGGGTTCGCGTAATCGTATGAGATATGTTCGGTGACATGAAGTCAACAAATTTAATTCTTTCCCTTGGAGTTTAGACGGACGAACAAAATAAAATGGATGTCAAAATATGAACATTCGAAAATTCACAAGGAAATAAATCGAAAGACCCCAAAAAATTAAAATGACAAAGATATTTAAAAGAGAATGGAACCAATTATCTAAATTAAAATTCTAAGATTACTTACTAAAATAATTCTGAACTAATTACGAATTCTAAGGTTATAAAGAATAATTCTAAAATTACTAAATTAGATATAAACTAAATTAAAATTCTAAAGTTATTAAGTTAAATCTAAAATAACTAAAAATAATTCTAAAGTTACTAAAATAATCCTAAATGAACTTAAAATTACTAAAATAATTCTAATCTAAAATTATTAAAATTTGTCTAATTGAAACTACATGTTTCTTTCTAAGAAACTAACTAACCTAATTTAAATAAATTTAACTAAGGAAATAAAACTAAAATAAATAGCATGGGGGTATCAAACCGAAAAAAGGGGTGTAATGAGACTTGGTTAATAAGAAGTAGAAATTAGGGCCCAAGCCTAAACCAAATTCAAACCCTAATCTAGAATTAAGTAAACAATTAGAATAAGAATTAATAAAGTAGAATAAAACAACTCCAACAACAGCTTCATGGGCAGCGTCCCATTCTTACCTTTTAACTTATTTTTTAGTTTTTTATTGTCCCAATGACAGGCTGCCACATGTCGCACAATAAACAAAACAAAAAAGGCAAATGATACGCATAGGCACACGGAGAGTGAGAAGACAACTTCATTGTCATCCTTTATTTCCTATGTTTTTCCAAAACACAAACACAATAATGCCAACAAACTCAAATACATGAAATCAAATGCCAAAAACTTAAAATTCAAACCTGAACTATTGCCTATGGAGATGGTCATCGACGATACTGCGGCGGGGTGCTTCGGCTGGTAACATCGAGATGTCGACAATGATTGAGATCTGAATGGGAGGTGGTAGTGATGTTGGGCATGAACGGCGCGAAAGGGGCGCAGATCTGGCATTGGAGTGGCTTCTAGCGGAGTGGGTTGTGGCATGGCGAGCTTCTGATCAGAGTCAAGAAGCACAGTAGTGACGATTGTTACAGATCACTGAGGGGCTTTCCATGGAGTTGCAGTCAGTTGCGATGGTGGCTGGCGTTTTCTTCGAAGATCCTTGAAAGTAGAATCGGGAAGGTTTAGATATGAAGCCTCAAGAGAAGCAAGGTATTTTGTTTCATGGGATGAATAATGCTTGATATGGCAAGCGCATAATCCTCAGGGGCCTGAAAAAGAGTTGCATCTTTGCATTCATGTTTTGTATCTAACTGCACATTTCCCTCCTCAAAATAATGGGCACCAACCTGGAGTTTCCCTTTTACTTCCACTGTTTGTTGTTCATCTTTGAAATCAATATTCAAAACTGAACACCAACTCCCATTACAGAAATTTTGTGGGCTATGCCTAGAAGCAGAAATCACTACGGCAAGCTCAAAATCAAAGCTCGGTCCCTTTGCATCCTTTCCATTTACACAGTAAACAGAACAGACACCTTTTGGATAAACTTCTTCAACATATTTAAGTATCTCAGCATCCAGACTGAATCGAAATTCTTCAATGTATGCAGATGCAAGTTCTTCATCTAGTGCAGGTCTCACCACTTCACAAACTTGTTTAACATGATCAACTATTGCTACTTGAGCAGTCCTAGGATCAAGAAACGCATTGTCCTCAAGCTCACCAAAGGAAGTAACTAGTACGTCTCCGCTTCGGTCCGACATTGGAAGAACAATGAAGTGCGATTTGTTGTAAAGAGGAAACGCTTCGGAAGCAGCTTCGTTGAACACACCATCGTCGTTGAGAATGGATTTCACATCTTTGGCAACGTATTGAATTTCTCCAGGAGGAGAGTTGAGAAGAAACCATTTCGCGATTTCAACTTTTTGCTTCTCGCTGAGTTCTGATTCTTCTTCTTCTTCCGCCATTAACACACTCTAGAGGAAATGGAAAAACAGAGTTATATTTAAATTATTTTATTTTATTTTTGTTGTATCAGGGGAAGAGATTGGATTGAGAGTTGGTTTTTGTTGTTGTTTTTGTGAATGGTAGTGGAGAGAGAAATTGAAGGGGTTTGTTGTTGTGGATGTGAATTGAATAGAGAGGGATGGTAGCAAGTGTGGTTTACTGCTAATGCCTTTTTTTGTTTGTTTTTTTGTTGTGTATATAAGAAGAGAGGATAGGTTACTGTGTATTGAAAGTGAGTTGTGTTTTGGTGATTTTGTATCGATCCGTAAATTCTGCCAACAACCAATGAAAATCAAGCATAGTATATTTAATATTTTTTTGTGACTAAAAAGCCCTTTAATGACAAAAATAAAAATAAAAACTTGAAAGTATAAAAAATAACTCAATTTAAAATGATTTTTGAATATTTTATGAATAAAATATAAAGACCCAAAAATGACCGAAAATGATAAAAAAAACGGACGAAAATTTATCCGAAAAAATAAAATGAACACATTAAAATAATCTACATGTCATAAAGATTAAAGAAAAATATTCAAGAAGTCAAAAATCAAAAATAAAATAATAATAAAAATATCAGACTAAACAGACGTTTAAGGTTAAAAACGAGACTTCGAACTGTACCGAAAAAATAAAGCAAGCATACCGTCATAATCTACGTGAAGCGCAGATTCATAAAATGATCGGTAAAAGGTGAAAACTTGAAATATTTTCTCGCTACTTTCCCGCATAGTGTCGAATTGCTTTTAACAGTCTGTCTATAAAACCGAAATATTTTATTATCGACATATAAACAACTTGGATCAGTGCAAGAAAATAGTAAACAGATAAAAATGAATGATGTGAAATGTCGGGTATTTTACAACTGAAAGACGATGCAAACTTTGATTTAAACTGACTTTTCCTGGTCAACTTAAATACGACTAATGATGCAAAAATGTGATGAATGAAGATATTTACTAATGATTGTGACCAAATAACAAAATATGATATGAAAGTGCGACTAAAACATATTAGGGGCGAAATTTAGGGTGCAACGGGGTGCCTTGATGAATCAGTCTTCGAGAATCCACAATCAACCGTACTTCTGGCTTGGGAGACTCAAAACCTTAATTGAGGCGCGACACCTGATGCTCTTGATTCAGATTTGTCTCTGCACATGAAACAAAGGAAAACATGAACATACACATTTGTATGCGATTAGAAATTAGTGATACATATGCTAAAAATGTTCAAAACACTTGACAATCTTCGCATAGTCAAAGCTCGAAGGTGAGACGTTAAAACCGACCGTATTTCGTGACCTTGACTTATCTTTAAAAATGCAAAAATAAAAATGGGATCTTAGGTCAAAAATTGGGGTACAACAACATCATGAACATCATAAAGCATCATATGCATCCACTAACCATTTCAAGGGTTTGGATCTTCATCTTTGTTCTTGTTTTGTAGGTCATGGAAATTCTTCGCAGGAAAACTATCCAAGTCAACCTTGTGAGAATCCCTCCTTAACTCAAGGAGCTTACATCCAGAATTCCAGAAAGCTCTCTCTTCAGTGAAAGACATGGTAGACTGCTCAGCCTAGTCAACACCAGCATTGAAGAAGACATGGTGAAAGTGTTGTTCCAATTCTTTGACCCCCCTTCACCACTGTTTCACATTCCCCGACTACCAATTGGTGCCTACTTTGGAGGAATTTTCTCAACTCCTGAGAATTCCTATTCTTAATCAACTACCCTACAACAGTATGGAAAAAGAACCAAAGCCTGAAGATGTTGCTCAAGCACTACACTTGCAACCATCTGACATCAAGGGGCATTGGGAGACTAAAAGTGGTGTCAAAGGCTTCTTGGCAAAATTCTTGTTTGAGAAGGCACAAGAGTGTTGGAATTCTTTGGATCTGCAAGCCTTTGAAGAGATTGTGGCACTCCTCATTTATGGGTTGGTCTTGTTCCCAAATCCTGACCAACTTATAGATGTCAATGCTGTCAAGACTTTCCTATCCAGGAATCCCATACCTACATTGCTTGGGGACATCCTCCACTCATTTTACACATGAACAATGAGGAAGAGAGGTGTTCTCATGTGTTGTACTCCTCTCCTTGTAAGGTGGTTTATTTCGCACCTTCCACAATCTGTTTTGAAGAATGAGCAAGGCTTAAGGTGGTCACAACGGTTGATGACCCTCACACACTCTGATGTACATTGGTGTTCTCGATCCAGAGAAAATGTCATCATCGTCGATCGTTGTGGTGAGTTCCCTAATGTTCCATTACTTGGCATTAGAGGAGGCATTACCTACAACCCTTGTCTAGCTTTGAGGAAATTTGGATATGCACGGAGGGATGGCCCTCATGACATGTTGATTCCTGACCTAGTTTTTGACTTCGATAACGATGCGCAAGGACTTCGCCAAAGATTCATCAGAGCTTGGAGGATGCCTAACAAGGTAGATAGCAAGACACTGGGGCACAAGAACTCCATCCCTCTTGAGCCTTACCTCAAGTGGGTGTGAGCCCGCGCTCAGAGTCTTATGATGCCTTACCCTCACATTCTTCCTTTGATTAAAAAGCCTGTTAAGGAAGGAGAGGTTCCATACACCATCCTACATCCTGACATGCTAACATCATGGGAGGAGATGCAGAAGAGTTGGATCCAACTCAAGGAAGAACGGAATACTTTTGAAGCCAGCTTCTACGCCAGTGAGAAGAAGGTTTTGGAGCTTACCCGCCGACTTCACGAGGAGGAGACCCTCAACACTTACATCGCACCAAAGAGGATGCGCAACGTATTTTTACCTTAAGAAGTTTTTTGTAATATTTGGCCCATGGGGCATTTATGTACTGACAAAATTTCTTCTTATTAATATGACGTGTGTTCTTTTTGTTTGCAACAATTTTGAATTTCTAAATCCTTGAATGCATTGCATGAATAAACATATCATTCATCATGTGCATCAACAGGTCTTCACACCAGGGTTCCTTATCTTTCTGCTATTTATTTCAGTAAGATGGATCTTGAATAGACGGTCAAAGATCTGCAGTCACAAAACTCGCAGTTTCAACAACTCCTTATGACCTTGGCAAAGGGTCAGGAGGATCTAAAAGCACTGTTGGGGAACAAAGAGCAAGAGAAAGTGAAAAAGGAGAAGAAAAGAGTTGGGGTAGCTACACTGGGAAGAAGGTTTGAGAATGAAGCTAGAAGAGTTCTTGAATTTCCCTCCACATCTGATGAGGGAACCGGTAAGGGAAAAGGAGCTGCATTACCTTCTGAGTCCGAGGCTGAAGAGGAAGAAGTTGAGGAGGATGAAGACTACTCAGAGCAGCAATACCTGCCAGCGGACGACAAATACAAAAACCTGGAGGATAGACTGGCAGCTATGGAGCTGCAAAGGGTTCCTGGGTTAGATTTTGAAGAATTGGGATTGATTGCTGGGATTGTGATCCCTCCAAAGTTTAAGGTGCCGATTTTTGCAAAATATTATGGGCTGTCTTGCCCGAAGATGCACTTAAGGTCATATGTCAGAAGAATTCAACCTCATACATCCGACAGAAATCTTTGGGTACACTTTTTTCAGGACAGCTTGTCCGGTACACAACTAGACTGGTTTTACCAGCTTGAGAGGTCAGAAGTGCATAACTGGGAAGACTTGGCAGCTGCCTTTTATCGCCAGTATCAATATAACGCTGACTTGGCGCCAACCCGTACTCAGTTACAAGGTATGGGGATGGCCTCAAATGAGGGATTCAAAGAATACGCCCAGAAATGGCGCGACTTGGCCGGAAGAGTGCAGCCACCTCTTTCAGATAGGGAACTAGTTGATATGTTCTTGGGGACCCTATCTGGCCCATTCTTCAACCATTTGATCGGGAGCTCTTCCGCAGGGTTTACTGAACTGATTTTGACTGGTGAACGGGTGGAAGCTGGTATTAAGAATGGGAAGATTCAAAAGGACGCCTCTGCCTCCGCAACTGTTAAAAAGTCATTTCCGGCCAAGAAGGAAGCAGTTGTTATATACTCTCAGAAAAGATTGG